TCAAACTTTTTCTGTGTAGTTATGCAACAAAAGTGACATTTCTGACCTAGAGAATCTATTCTGAGCTGTACGTTTGTTAGATTACTTTTTTGACTTTCACCCAACTTAAAATTAACTGTGGTTTTGCCTCAGCTTGCTTTTCTGTTTGTTTCCAGTTTTTCCCGTATAGGCTAGTTCCAGTTTACCATAACCCGTTTTTATTCATTTTTGCCCGTTTTTAGTGTACTGTTTTTTTTAGCTGTTTTTGGACTTTGCTAGCATATATAAAACAGTTTACGTCAATATAGTTATGAAAAATTCATGCTAACGACCTGATTGCCGTTCTGCTGTTACATCTGGTATGCAGTGCAACAACTGCACCGGTTGGTTCCATAAAACGTGCACAGATCTCACAGTAACTGTTAACAACAGACTCAGTAAGTCGGATCATAGGTGGGTATGTGTCATTTCACAGGTGCCTAAGATTTGATCAGTAAACTCATTGTTCTATTGGCACGTCTGGGGAACAAATTATCAGCAAGCTTGTAAAAAGACAGTCATGAAACGGGTAGACAAAAAGGGACGCGCAATGGAAACAAGAACAATTATGCCGACAGATCTAATACCGATGGAGCATGCAATAGCACTAGAGATGAAGTGGTTAGACTCAGCACCATCATAACGTCGACGGTTACAGCATCTCTCAGTAGACTAGAGTCTCCGAGCACAGGGTCCCTGAATGAAACGGTGGTCCTTAAACCTCTGTAGGTGGCTGGACTCCCAATATCAAAGTTAAAAAAGACCAGGCGTCACCGTCTAAGAAGCTGAACATCCCAAGAATTGTAGGGAAATCAAATGGTGATTTGGCCGCACAGTCTACTTCCAAAAATGTCCGTCCGGTCATCAAAGAGACTAGGAATCGGAAGCGGGCACCCCTGATTTTCCGTTTAGTTTGCAGGAGAAAATGGCAGGGTGCTCTGGGGAGAGTTAGACAAGAAGCTTGGAATTCCCAGAATAGAGCCTTTGACAGTCACACAGCTCACTTGGGGAAAGGAATCGAAGCATCAAAATCATCCGAGGCTACTTCGTGTAACACACAAGAATGCTACCAACGTAGAGGATATCCTACTAGCCACTCACTCACTCACTCACTGAAATCTGATGGGAACGTAAGAATACTGCCTGATATACCGTATTCTGAGCGCGATCTCATCAGGAGCATCCCTAAGGAATCTCGCGAGACGTTTTTCCGCGGAAGAAATATCATTGTGAAAGGTATACCGGAAAACATGGACCCTGGTCACACAAACTCTGATATTAGGGAATGGAAATTCATCAAGCAATTCTTGAAGCTCAAAAACATACTGACTCAACAAATGACGAGACTAGCTAAGAGAGACGGAGATGCTAGACCCGACTAATTAAGGTATATTTCCCAGCATTTCGTGCCAACAAACGTCGGTTGCCAACTGCAATCCATATGCACCCGGATAGGCCACATGACACCAGGATCAAACACAAAGGCAAGTTGGAGCTGACCATTCCACTTGTGGACTGTCTTGATCATAAAAAAACATGCAAAGGACAGGGACTATCAAGTCGGAAAAGCTGGTGTAAGTAGGCTATCTGTCCATTCACATGAGGCTCATACAGACAAACAGGAAGGAGAAGCTCATGCGTGTCTAGTCGAAAGCATAAACTGCTTCTACATGAACGCCACGAGTCTGCCAAATAAAATGGATGAGCTATGTGAACTTAGTAATGCTAATAAGGCCTATCTGATAGGAATATCTGAAACTTGGATATCTCAGCTTACGGACCAGGAGCTAGCGATACCTGAGATGTCTTTGTTTTGCAATGACAGAAAAACAGGGATTGGGGGTAGAGTAGCCTCATACTTACGATCCTGCCTGGAGGCACATCAAGTGCACAACCAAGAGTTGATCAATCTTGACGAATTGGTATGTTGCTCAGTAAGATTGTCTACCACTTCGAGGTGTCTAGTTGGGGTCATTTACAGGAAGCACACTGCTGAAATCGAGTACGACAATCGTATGCTGGAAGGATTTTCCTGCTCTACTCGTCTCCGATTCGCTCATATCCTGATTCTAAGGGACTTCAATCTTCTTAAAGTCAATTCCGCGGAACATATGTATCATGGAGGTGAAAACTCAACTGAATATCGGTTCTTCAACCTCATTGAGGATCTGGGATTATTCGAAAGTGTGAACTCGGAAATTCGGAGAAACAGTCAGGCGTCGTCGCACCTAATCTGTGTATTTACGAACGAAGAATTTCTAGTTGACAATCTCATATCCTGACTTCCTTGGCGAAAGGCGGTCACGCCGCCATAGCTTTGAGTTATGTCAGTAAAACCTAGCTAAGACGTCCCATCAACAACAGACGCTGGAATTTCAAACGGTTGAATGTGTCAGCTTCATCGGACCAACTGATGCAAGCGGATTGGGTGTTCACTTTCAACTTGATTTGTGTGATCATTGGGATTTCTTACTCCACACGCTCTCATGAGTTACAAAGTAGTCTGTTCCTCAAATAGTACTCATAATCTACAAGCAACCTCCAGTCATCAAAAACCTCATTGTTCGTTTGCTAAGCCGCAAATGACAGTGTAAAGTGTGAACGATAAACGAACCCACCAATAGTAAAGTGAAACGCCCACCACTGCACTAACTTTTCTTGACCTTGTATGACTGTGTCCTATTTATTCACCAACCACAATCCGATGTTTAATATAAAACAATATTTGCTTTGTTGACTCATTTGTCCTACTCTCTAGCTACTGTTCGGTACGTTATTTATGTCTCCGTTTTTCCCTGTGTTTATAGACTGTACTTTTGTTTTGTACACTAACAGTGTTAATTTACGTTTTAGAAACAAATGAAGTTTATCGAGCCAAATTGCTTACTTGTTCTGACTTTGACTGAACCAAGACTCTATATTCGACAGTCTAGGGATTAACTTAGAGTTGGATCTGTAGGAAACCGCTTCCTACAGCACTGTTGGGCGGAGTACAAACTAACTGATAACAACGGCGCGTACAGGCAATACAAATATATAAGGAACATATGCACGAAGGCTATAATAGAAGACAGGCTTCTGTAACAGATAAAGTTTATGTATAAATGTTTCTTCACTCTGGAAAGCTTATTCCGTTTTGCAGCCTCTCTTCGTCAAGCCAAAACTGGAGTTTCCCAACTGCTGGGTCCTAATGGTCAGATTAATAAGGACGGCGACGCCGCTTACCTTTTGGATGAACAATACTCTCTGACATATCAACCCACCCACATCAACTATACTGATGACAGCTTCATCTGCAACTGCACAGGACTTTCCGAAGTGAACTTGAGTGCTGACTTTGTGTTCCGGAAAAGAAAAGACATTTCTCTTGACCCAGATATGGTTCATTCTGCTATACTTAGGGAGACAGCTTCAATCCTGGCAACACCGCTTAGCGTGACGTACTCACACTCGCTAAGCCGAGACAAACTACCGGAAATCTGGAAGCTGGCTCACATCACACCAATTTTCAAAAGGAGGTCGACGCAACGGACCTTCTAGTTACTGACCGATGGCTCTTCTCTCTATACCTTAAAAAATTATGGAGTCCCTGATATGCGGTGGTATACACAACTATTTATTATCCCTGAACTTCTTTCCACTCCAACAGCATGGTTTCAGGAATGGTTACTTTTGTATAACCAACCTTCTGACTGTGGTGGACAGAATGACAACCATCCTTGATCGCAAGGAGAAGGTTGACGTCACTGACCTTGACTTCTCAAATGCTTTTGATAGGGTCAACCATATATGTCTTATCAATAAGCCCAAACGATTCGGTATAAAATCACGTCTAACTGACTGGTTCACTTGATAATGTAAGAGTTAACTTCAATTTATCTCAGGCTATGGAATGCCCTATTGGGGTCTCCAGGAGCTCAGTACTAGGACCTCTTCCCTTTGGATCTTCCACGATCCTCCACAGCAGGCATCGTCTGACTTATTACTTTTTGCTGATGATGTGACACTTTGGAGAGAGATACGCGGCCAAGAGGATATACTGGCACTTCAGGAGTATCTGGCTAGATTTCAAAGTCGGCAGATGACAACGGATTTGTCTTCAACACTTCAAAGTGTAAAGTAGTCCACCTGAAACATGTTGCAGACTACAGTTGCAACTTAGCAAACTCCTCTCTAGTAGTATCCCAAGTAGAAGATTTGGGAGTCCTGGTACACTACGATTTGAAGTCTCACGCTAACTGTGACAAAAATACCTTCTCGAGCAAACTTGCACTGGTAATATTGAAGCGCATTTTTGGCCAGTTTGACAGAAGAACTTTCCACATAATCTTTAAAAGTTTTATTCGTTCCCATTTAGATTATGTAAACATAATATTTCCTCCCTCACTCTACAAGGATAAAGGCACTCTGGAGCGTATCCGACGGCCAGCCGCGAAATCAGTTCGGGGACTCAAATTAAAGCCTTATGAGGAGCGCCTCTAATAATTTAAACTTTACCCATTAGAGTATAGGTGTCTTAGAGGTGACCTTCTGCTGGCTTACAGTATCCTAAACACTTCTAGACATCCCTTTATAAAACCCAATTAAGCTTAGTCTCGAAAAACCTCAAAGGGAAACGCACAGAACTGGTGACAACATAGCGATACGAACTGTATACACACCTACTCCTTAAGAGTTGGAATTCGCTGCCAGCTGAGCTAGTCCAAGCGACTTTCCAAGAGTCCTATAAGAGGCGACTTGTTCTATTCTTAAGGACTTAGGATAATATCTTACTATGATTTGTCAATTTCTTTTTCCTCTATTATCGTTAATATACCTAGGCTCCTCCATGGAGGCATTCGTGATCCCCTGTTACTAGACACGGAAGTCTGTTAAACAAAAGCTTCTATCCCGTCCACAACCATTTGAATCCAGGGCGGGCAGGTTAAACAACACGGGTAGCGCACCAATTGGATTTCGTGGTGACTTACACATTTCCAGCCATGAACCTATTTAAACTTGGCAGGACCGTTTCTTATTGTTCGTTTTATAATGTCCTTTCAAAACCATATACGCAAATGGCAACAAATTTGGGAGCAGATAAGGATTTAGTCCCTCCTTCCTTTAGTGCTGATAATAAGGAGTATCCAAAACACATACATGAGATTGTAAATCGTATCAGTTCCCTAACATTATTAGAAGTCGCAGACTTGTCAGAACTGTTACAAAAAAAGTTAAACATCAAGGTGAGTTTGTAGTAACAAATAACGAAGTAACATAATTCTTTCACAATGATCTGAAGTCCTTGTATGAAGCATACTGCTCCGGCCACTTTTGTTTTTTAAAGACCTACTTGCCAGTATTTCTGATCTTAAGACTCAGCTATTTAAGAAATCACCTATGTCTTTGGTGTAAGCTCAAAGCTCGTCACCACATTGTTGATAGGGTGGCGTGTTTGTCTATTACTATTCGCTTTATTATCGTTCGGCAGTTATTTTTTTACCATTTAGTTAAAGTCACGATGGTATTTTGTTTGTCTTTCGTTATACCAAGAATTGGACGCACTAACTCTGTTTCGTCTCTTCTAAACATACACTCTCTTCAAAGATATGTTAGTTTTGCATAGTTCATACTAGTTTACCCTTATAAAGTTTTCCATACGTTATCCGTAAATAATTCTTATTGTATCTAAGACAAGTAATGGTAAGAATAACATTGTGTCGTGCTTAAACCGCTGTATATATGTCCCAGACTATGTTGCAGATGACTAGCTGGTTTTAATGCTGTCCGAAATACAGCATAACTTTTTCTCGAAAGCTCAGGAAGTAATAAGGGAGTGTTAACGGATAATAGGTAATATATGAGAATTTACGATTAGTGAATGTGCCGAGTAGTGCCAAGAACATGTGACCTCGTCAGACGAAAAACTAACTTTGACATTAATCAAACGTGTGAAGAACAAGGAAGATCGGAAGACAAACTTGCACCAAGGCAAGTGATATTTGGCATAGTTAATCGTAGAATCTTCGATAGTACAAACTTCATGTGATTCCAAAAGGGTGTTTGAGTCCTTTTCATGACTCAGGTTACAATAACTACTTGACATTCCGAAGTATTAAGTTTGAGAGCATTAATAATAGACCATCGTACAATGTTTACTACGGAAAGACCGGTGTACATGCATAAAAACCATTCACATACCTAACAGAAGTGCCCTTTGCAGAGGGTAGCAGATCACGCAGAGTAGAGGAAAATGAACAGTACCTTATGGTACACCCGCTTAAGCTAGTAATGAAGTAAACATTTCCCTCCAAATATAATATACTGTTCTCTTCCAGAGAAGTAAGAACGCAGCCAGTTGGTTATCCAGTTCTTAATGTTAACGTTGGCGACCTTGTTTGTCGCTAGTGGTATTGAGACAGAATAGAAAGTGACAGTAGTCTCGAAATGCACATGGAATATAATTCCCACCCTTTACGAGGCTAAACACTATGGTGTAATGCAGAACCAATAGCAGTATCTAGGGTACTTCTTTCACATGTATAAACAAACTGATATGGGTCGGTAGGCTCATCCAGTTCAAGCCAAAGTGTGAGTAGTAGTTTCTCCATCGTCCTGAGAAAAGGTGAATTTATTATCACGGTTTTAAACTTTGAATCTCTATCATCAGATACGTTCTTCGGTATTGGGATTATTTTCATTATCCCCATCGTAAGTACAAAATTAGTAAAGGACGATTCCTTAAAGGTGCTCGTAAATGGGTGAGAGAGAATATAAACACATTTTAAAAGGTTTAGGGTTTCGCTAAGTCCTAAACATTGCGAAGGGTTAATTGAAATCTTAGAACATGAGTTTCAATGAAACTTGCTACTTTCCCTCGAAATTGGAGAAACAGGACAAAACGTCAGATGTTTGCCGCGTAAAAGACTTATTCAAACCATAAACAGTAGGCTAAATGTCATCATTAATGCAATCGTTACCTGTAAGTTCCTCAAATAGTCCGCACATATTTGAAGGGTTTTTACAGGTCCCTAAGCATAATCACATTCAGATTTCTGGTTTCTTGGCTTAGCTTTTCAGTCTTCAAACTTCAGCAAAGTTTTCCTTGCTCATCCATTCCTCACTCAAGGGTTTTCTACTGATCTAAGCAATCTAGCTGGGAATTGGACATTATAGGTTATCACAAACTCCCAATTCTGTTGTGTACCCTAACCTTCATCCAAGGATTCGCGTTGTAACACTAGTATACTCCATGTAGTGTTTCACCGTTTAACACTTTTGTGTACTGCTATTGAGCTGTGCTCGTATTACTTTATTTAATTTTTCCTATCAAAGTCACTTCGATCATATCCGATTTTTCTTGATGAAGCACTCATACTGCAAGTAATTGTGCTCAAACTATTCCATCCCTTTTAGTGCTGTGCCCTGATTTAGGTGGTTTAATTGCAGAGTGTTCAATGTCGTCTTGGCAACACCATTTCATCCCTTTTTCTTTTGTGCCTATGTAGAATACCGGGCCCATGATGCCTATGATGGTTCAAGCGCCAACAAACCAACCTCCCGAAGAGCCTGAAGAACAACAAGTGCCTACGAAAACAGCATTTTCAGTCAAGCTAGTGAAATTTGATGCAGCAAAGAAAATCCAACTTATCAAAGAGATCAAACAAGTTATTCCTGAGATGAATCTTGTACAAGCTAAAAAATTTGTAGAAGTAAGTTCAAGTTAGCAGCGCAGCAGTTGTTTAATTTTCGACACCTTATCTCATGGTGTTTATCAGTCCGTGTCTGCGTGCTTATTCACGTCAGTACAACGGTAAGGAGTGAGTGCAAAGTGTACATAAAATTAAGGACAGTAGTAAAAAGCTGTATATAAAAGCAAAAAGGACAAGAGAAATCGGGGGAAGAGCAGCTTGGAATGTTGTTTAGGGTCTGTATATAGTTATAGTGAATGCATGTGTAGCCAACTTTGAATCATATCATCTACAGTCCCCGATACATGGGTGATAGCTAGTGAGTCGCGCAGGGATGATGTAACTAGGCATGCGTAGCACATGCCTCAACTACCTTGTCAGTCGACTAGGCACTTTTATTTAGTTACTTTTTTCTGTAGAAAAGCGCACATTCATATTGTGTCAAGTATTGCTATTGATCAAAAAACTAGTAACAGTTGGATGCGCTAGACAACCACTCTAGATTAAAAAGTACCCACCCAACTAGTTTTTTTAATATTATGGCCGCTAATTCGCTTTTCCAAATACACTCAATAACATGTTATATTTACACACTGCTAGCTTAAAAAAATTGATAACCTTAATTATGTCTTTTAGAGTGCACCTGCCAATATAAAGACTGACGTGAGCAAGGACGAAGCTGAGCAAATAAAGAAAGTATTGGAAGAGGTTGGAGCGTCTATTGCAATTGAATGAACAATATCATACACAGACAAAAAATAGATACTTTCCAAATTAAAAATTAATAGTGCATTGTTGTTATCAAATATTAGATACTCCTCTCAAAGCCAGGTACCCATTAACGATATGCTGAGGCAAATAACGCATTCTTTTAAACTCGGAACAAGTTGCATAATTTAGTTTTGTCAATGGGTCTGTATAAGCGGTTGGTATCCCACTTAAATCAGAAACTTTCATAGGTGGACAAATGCATGGTGGTGCATTCAGATGATTGTAAAGAACAGCATCTGGTGAATAGCTAACCTGCAGTTGAAAACAAATGAATATTAGTCTAGAAAGTAATAGATTTAATAGCGTGTGAGTTTATTAATTAGAAAGTGGGTTTCGGCGATTGTATGGATGAACGGTAATCTACATACCGCCCAAAACAGAAACACTATGAATTCATGACCTAATAATTAGTTGAATACCCAAACCACCGGTGGATCGTCTTACGTAGCAATGTTTTAACAAGCTTTCATTCCAGATTGTATTAACCGATAGAGTATATGTTCTCCGCAACAACAGAAATGAATAATCGGGAGGAAAATTTTCAATGGGAGTTACCGCAATAAACAATAAATCGGGGTCGATGCCGATAGTATGTTCAATTGAGTTTACATTGGTCGGGTAGGCACTAGTGTTATAAGCCAATAGTCTTACTTAGCAAATGTGAAGCATCACGATACTCTTAAAGCTGTCACAGGAAACTGGATTTCGCCAGTGTTTGCTTCACATCACTGTCGGTCAGAGATTAATTGTAGTTGAACCAGAGGTTGACAGACACTTGCTGATAATTTCATAATAGTTACTTAGTCTGGAAGTTATTTTACTTACACAGGAGCAAACAGGTACAAAAACTAGCCCTCAAAACATGAGTGTACACGGATTTGGTATACTAGAACGTACTCATTCATTTAATTACACTGATTTATTGAATCGTCATATAGCGCAGTAGAGAGTAATCCTCTCATGCCCGTAATTTTATAGTTAGTCAACGGGAACATCCTAAAATTAGCGTCGTTTATGTGTCAATAAATTCCCATATTTTATGTAACGCTAACTCAACAATACAAACGAGAATTTGCGACGTTACTTTCAAGATTAGATAGATTAACTATGTTACTAGATACTTCGTATCATAGACTTCTCCAGCTTGGTTTTGATGCTTTTTGCGCAACAAATAGAAGTATGAGTCATATGAGAAAAATAAGCTTAGTTCCACTACATAGTGGTTTTCAGATGAAAATGAACTCGATGGATTTATGTGTAAATTGATGCAACTGTTGAGTGTTACATATGACCAACAGATAAGCGAAAGTTCTGTGTGGATTTAATAACTAATTTGCAACTATATTCCAAAGGACAACCCACCATGTGAGCACTTGATTCGGTTGATTTGTCGGTCTAATCTAGTTACAAACTCATGAATCTAGATAAATTAGCTAGACTACTTATACAATGTTCGCCTGTGCGGGGATGTTACACGACAAGAATTTAACCTGCTTGGAACCCATTTCTTGATAATTAAAAAGCAATACGTGGCTACAATACAATCGAATGGTTAATAAATTTGGCTTTTACAACAATACCTGCAGACAGCAGAAGTACCTAGTTTTAGTGCTATTCTTGGCCAGAAATCCAGTTAATTTCGACAGTAAACAATTCTTGATTCCGACATCAGAGATATTAGTGTTTGAGCGAAAGAATAGTCCAGTGCAACGACAATAAGCTTGTCAGCTCTATGGTGCATAATAAAGTAGATTTTAAGTACTGATCATACTACCTTATGTGAGAAAAACAATCCAGTACTACGGAGAGCTGATATAGTTACAACTTATTGAAACTGACAAACATCCATCTTTTATTGGTGAGCGTTTGGTTGAGATAAGTAAAAGAATTAGCTTAGATTTAACCTCTCTAATTTTATACCGAAGTGATCTGGGGTGGTGCTTGGGTTTGTTGGAAAGTCAAACTAAGAAAAATTTGATAGTGTTTAAGAGTAGTTGATACTTGCGCTAAACATACCCTGGTAATATAGGCTTCAATGTAGCATATAGAGTGGCGTGCCGTGCATTCCGTTTTGTTCCGTCTGCTAGTCTGACCTTTCATCTGACGTTTACAAGTTGGTGTGTGATCACTTAATATTTCATCATGCTAAGTCGATCGAATGGTTTTGTTATTCTAAACCCATATATCTCCCATGAGAAGCAGAGATTATTTAGTGCTGTCTATTTTTATATACGATGGGAAACGCAAATTACTAACTAGAATTTGAAGTGCTAAATATAAATCTTACTTGAGATTCCGCGTTTAAGACCTGTTTGATACCTTTGAAATTTGTTTTCTTTCGCTCGAACTGTCTGGAACTATATTGTTCTGGGACTGCCATTTTGATAAAGTGAGATATCGAAAATAAGTTGGCGGTGTATCTGGAATAAGAAGAGATATCCACCTATTAAATTTTGGATGGGAGTTTTAAAACGAAATAAATAGGGATGCTTATTAATTCGCAGCCAAGTTAAGCACCTAAGACGGCCAACAGTGTTCACACTAAAAACCCAAGTTTAGCGCTGATACATCCGATAATTTTAATAACCTAATGAGTTTATTGTAAGGTCAAACATATCTTATTACTCTCAAACGTATAGATGCCTGGCGCCTCAAAACAAGGTTAACATTGAAGTATTAATAGCAAAAACAAGAAGTCCAATACGACGAAGATGCTCACTGGTAAACTAGTCCAGACCAGTGTTGTTGAATGTAAATAGTGGGTGAACACCTTTTGGTTAAATGCAGTTAAAACATCTTATCCTGGAGAACCAAAAAGATTTGTTGATATTGATAGATTCGCCACCTTGAAGTTTGATTGCTGAACCCAGAAGATAACTCAGTCTAAGCCAATACTGTTTTTTCTTCATATTTATAGAGTTGGCTACGTATTACTTCAACTATTACCCAAAAGAAGAGCCGCTGGAAATGACTTGTCCAGATGACGTTTCCAACTTCCCATAGAACCCTCGACAGAGCAGAATTAATACTATCCGTTAAGATCATTTACTTATTTAAACATGAATTATTCGGTTTATATGAGAGCTAGGATACTGCCCTGGTGCCCGAACCGAAGCAGGTGGTTTTCTTAGGGGACTACACTCCGGGCTTCTGACCTACAAGTCTAATGCACAAGGAAGCGCAGCAACGTGAGGAGATGAAGTCCCATGGTAGCCGGTGGCCAACAATTGGTTCACACGCCACTTGTTCCCTCACGATCCTGAAGCCCATGTGCACCATTCGTTTAAAATCAGGGGTTCCTAGTCCCCCTAGGTGGATCCTACATATCCACCAGCCCGGTTGAAGCACCAGAAATTCGCTTTTTGTCCTCTCAATTTCGTAAATAACACCCCTGTTGCGGGAAGACAGTGAGTATGACTTCCCTGGAAGTGGTTGTGTGCACGTGGCCATATGAGAGCATTTTAAGAGCTGCGTCTCCCCGCTATCAGCCGAACCAGGGAATTTGTGGTTAGAATCATATTGAAGCTACAACCGATGGCATGACTTAATCTGTAATGTGTGATTGAATGTACATCTATTTAGCAACTCATTTTACACTTTGACGTCACTGTATTAGCAACATTTATAGTTTATTAAATACCAGTTACATAAATTTTCATAATTAGCTATATTTTTATGGTACAAATTAGAGTACTGCATGCACTACATTATGATTGACCAGTCTGCATAAAACTCTTTAAAACATTTTATGGAAGAATTTACACGGACCTTGTTTGCCGAAAGTTTTGTACAACCTCAACTGACTTATATATTAGGGAAGATCGCATAGGATAATGTATTTCGCATGATTGGAGTGGCTTGTTAACAACACCGCTGGAATAGATGTGGGTCAATTTCACTCCCAACTGGAAATCGATAGATGCAATATGACATTTTGGCATGATAGAAATTAGCAGACCACTGACTGATCACAGTACATTTTGAAGGAAGAGATCAACGGAAAATCAACCCCTAGAATTAGAGCACTTTATCAGTGACTACTAAGTGATATCCCAACCCAACTGTTCCTAACTGTACTGACTAATTCAGTCCTTTTTCTGTGCAAAAGATTGTCGTTTACCGACACTATGCAAATTTTGTGCAAGTGACTTAAATTTATAACCGTCGGAAAAACAACAAATTACATGTTTTGTGAACATTCGAATGTAGTTCCTGCTCTACTGTGTTCACATCTATTATCCAATAACATGGAGACCTTTCCTTAAGAACTACACCCTGCAAGACGTTTAGTACAAGAGATTACCAAGCAGAGAAACAAATAAAGGTATAGATTGAGTGTAATTACCTACATTAATGTAGGTGCTATGGTAGCGTGCGTGAGGAAAGCTGCAAGAGCGATTGATAGAAAGTATTGAGGTGTGACTATAATTTATGAACGACCCTTAAGCGACGCTGAAGTTACATAAGCTATAATGCCAAAACTCTATTTAGACGAATGTACGGATGAATTTCGCGTCGGAGTTCGTGACTTGTTATTTTATATCTAGTTTGTTCGTCTATAAATTAGTCTGGCCAATGTTGGTCTGTAACTTAGTGAATGCAAGAAATGCACTAACATTTAATGGGCGAAGTTAATACAAAACGACTAGCGGTATACGTAAAAAAAAATACGAGACGGACGGCAAGGTTTAAACGTTAGGTCCCTTCGAATGTGCCCGCCCTTTCGTTTCAACGACCTTGGACGGCCTGACTAGAGGCGGTTATTCCGTATTTCAATTGCCGTGGGTTGGTTGGATTGTATGAGTATCAAGTTTTCTCATATATAAGTCATCTTATACTGCATAAAAAGCACGAAATAAATACAAAAACCAATAATTTAGCATTTTCTGTTTTGTAGTGTACACTTTGGCTCTGTTGTTGCTTTGTAATTTGATCTGTGATCCCAAAAACTGTAGTAAAGCTCAACGAAACGTCAAGTCACAGGTAAATCCTGAGTATTTGTAGTATTTCCTCGGGTTATTATTGTTGTAAGGAATAACTTTTTAATAATTAGTCATGTCTGTTTTTAGTGCTCCATGCTCAAGTGACATTTCAGTCGACCTTACCGATGCCTTTCGAAGTATGATACTGAACAAGCGTTTCGTGTTCTGGGATGATTTTGAAAGCGCCTTAAAAGAGTTCCAAAAGCATGGAATTATAGTTTTATCGCTTCTCAGACTACCTATACTCAATACATCCACACGGAAAGCAGATTGCTAAAGGATGTCAGGTTCAAATCCCTGTTTGTAACGTTTAACTGTACGTCTGGTCATAAACGGAAATCGGGAGGTTTGAAAGTGAAGCAAAAATCGTAAGATCTTTAACTAATATCTTACGTTTAAGGTCTAAATTCCGTAACTGTAAATCTAAATTCCGTGTAAGACTAGAGGAGCAAGGATATGTCATCAAACCCTACAACATGCTCCACAATCATACTTGTAGTAGTTCATGGATGGTATGTGATCCATGGACAAGGAGATTATCATCAGAAGAAAAAGAAAACTTGAAGCCAGCAATACTGCACTGTGAGTCAGCAGATGAGGTTATCGAAAGTATTAAGGAGAGAACTGGTAAGCAAGTAACTGCTGCCGATGTCAAAGGTATGAAAGCTACACTCTCCACTGGTAAGTGTATATAAATATATTTAGGTTGTTTTACTCGGAAGCAGGTAATGGATATGCTGAGACAAAAAGGCGAAGTGAGAGGACATTTAGAAAATGGGTATGCCACGAGAATATGTTTCAGTAGTTATGACCAAATACAACTGTATAGGAAATATCCAGAAGTTTTGTGCATTGATTCTACGTATAATACTACTAATAAAAAGTGAATATGTTTATCGTTGTATTTTACTATGTAGATATTCGTTATTCCAGTTAGTGGTGACGGATAATTGTGGTCGAGGACGAACTGTAATGTTTGCGTGGACACGAAGGGAAAAGCGTGCCGATGTGATATGGATTTTAGATCAATTCAAAGAGATAATGAGTAACACTATGTTGGCTGAAAAATTTGTGATGGATTGCGCACGATGTGAAAGCGCGGCTGTCTGGATAACACACGGACATGCCAACATAATTCTGTGCGTCTTTCATGTAATTCGCGCTTTCCGGAAAAAGGTACACCAGTGGTTGCTTATATAAAATTGCCCTTAGACAAACTATAAAGTACTGAAAACGTACTTAACTCGATTGGTAACTGCGGAAACGGTTGGAAGGTAATTTTTGTAATGTGTTTATTCACTAGATTTAATCAATATTACAGAATAATAAATCGGCGGTACAGATTGATAGGTCAGTACCTGTCACGTTTTTGGATGGCACCTAAGACAATATGGGCGCGTGCATTACTAGGTTTTCACAACCAAGTATTTTGCAAAAATTTTAAAATCCTAAAAACGTCGCTAAAACCATTTCTGGTGAGTTATCTTTCTTTTCTGGTGCAATCACGACTATTGTTTTCAAGTTATTACCACTTGGAAATCTGCCATTCTACACGCTTCGTTGAAGATCGTATCAAAATCTAGAAATTTCTCAATACTGCCTCAAAATTTCCGCAGAATTTTACTACACTTTGGGGAAATCGGCTTATATTTATGAATAACACCCCATTTTTCACAATCTTCAGGAAATTTTGCGTTTTTTCCGAAGATTTCCACTGATTTTTGCGCTTTTCCCAAAAAAATCATCATGATCTTATTACAGTTTCTGCAAACTTGTTTGAACGCAATACCTTTCAACAGATTTTTACAGATATACAGAAAAGCCAGGCGAGAATGAGTACCTATAGTTTTTACTGCGATATTCCATTATTTTAAGTCAATCATGCAGAAAACGCGGCGTCAAAGAAACTTAGCGTTAACCGATCTATCGCTGTAATTAAAAGACTGATTCGTGACACGTTGAAATTTTTATTACGGTTTATAAAACTACAAATCATTGATTTATACATGTTTTCTCTATTGCTTTGTAATATAAGCACGTTACGTAGACGTTGACCTATCATTCACGTCAATGACGTACCAACGGTGTAACAAGGTTGTTGATAATGCGAACAAAAAACTTACGGTTACGTCTGTTAAAAATTGCGAAGCCATCTGAAAGCAATATGGACAAGAAATAATTTTTTTACTGACAAGAAAAAAGTTAAGTATAAAAATTGATCACAAATTAATACTAAAACTGCAATATGTATTCAATCAAACATGTAGAGTGCTTTTAGCTCACCCTTTCTTTGGATCGCCATCCACACTTATTTACTTTATATCTTGCGTCATGCAAGAAAGCCTGGCCTGGAAAATTCATGGCGTGTGCTACTTCTTTTTCGGGACAGGTTGCACTT